GTTTCTGGGATTGTAAGTGATCATGCACTTGTGTTCCGTGACCCTTCGTCTGATCTATGGCTCAATTGAATACGAATGACATTTAAAGGAACAACGTTCTATATTGAATATATCAATAATTATAATATCCAAAACTATGTCATGGATATCAGGTCTAATAGTACAGGGAATCTCCGGGCACCTATTGAATTACATTATATCTACCGGATTCCTTTCAAACGTCCTGACTGCTTTAAATCTACTGTGTACTTCTCCAATGCCAGTGCTGCATTAAATCTGCCTATTACCTGACAGTTGAAAGGACTACTTTATTCTGAACATAAAAAATTGTTGAAATCGCGTGTGCCAGGCAAGAATTTTTATTAAAGCAATAAATATAACTTTGTATGAGATACTTAGGTCTCCTTAAGATTCGAACATGACTTTATCCATTGGGGAGTACGTGGTGGCATGGTCGTGTGTAAACATACACTGGCGTAAACATAATGTTCCAGTGAGTTTACAGTCGGATCACATGGCGTTATGAGGCGAAACGTCATGATAAAGAAAATACAAATAAACAGCAAGAGATTCCGTTAACCAGGCAATTAATTCGCATAAACCGAAAAATTAGGCCACGCCTAACGCACTACAGTTTCCTGATTGGCTAATAACAGAATGGGTGGGGTTTGTGTTGCATTTTTGCGCTGAACGATGTCGCTCATTTCGTACTGTTGTCTACAGTTTTTCTGTGGTAATTATAAAAAAGCAGTCTGTACAGTTATTATTGTTGGCCTGCCTATTCATATTTGGGGAGTCTTCACATTCTCCGCAAAGATCTGGGTGGGTGTATGACTAGGCAGCGCAAAGCAATGCAATATTATTAGCCCTGTCATTGTATCAGTGTGTACTCGATGTTTGCACATAACTGAATAACTGAAAATAATTGAAACCGAGGAACGTAGCAGTTGTATCCCCGGAATGATTCTTGGGCCAAAGAGATCTTGTTTATCTTTGGCGTGACCCCTCGGCTACCACGCCATTGAACTTGTAATAAGTGTCTACAATATGTGACATGGCTCAAAGTGTGCCTTTGAATATATATATATATATATATATATATATATATATATATATAAACCAATGCTAACTTTAAGCTTATGTCAGAGAGCACGTTTCTGGGTTCGTGAGTGATCATGCACTTGTGTTCCGTGACACACACACACCCCCCCCCCCCCCCCCACCCCACACCCCCACCCCCACCCCACCCACACACACACACACACCCCTTCGTCTGATCTATGGCTCAATTAAAACTACAGTAAAATGACCGAACTAGGAATACGAATGAATTGACTTCAACATGCTTTTTGCGAAACAACCAGTGTGCACACTTGGCGTGCACCCCAACACGGATTTGCACAGGGTGCACACAGGTTTAAACGTTCAATCTTTCAAAAACACTAAACACACTCAAGTCAATTCTTAAATAAACTGTAGAACATGCACCTCGCTGGTGAAAAAAGGGCTTGTGCAGACATGTCATTTGTGTCTAAAATGATTGTACAAGCTGGAATTAAATGTTACACCGTCACTTGCGTCACCACGCTGGCCTGCAGGTACCACCAGCAAGGAAACAGAATCAACGGTGAAGCTCAACCAATATTTGCTCATACAATATTGGTTATGGGAAATTGATAACCTCCCCATCACGTAGGGAGTAAATGCATCAAGTACGTGGACAAGCAGGGTAGCACGATCGCAGAAGGCCTAACTGCAACATGCTTTGTTCAAAGAATAAGATGTCAAGACGTTAGGTTTCTATGTGAAAGAGCACACCGTGGTTAAAGTACAGCTTTCTCATTGGTATGAAACCATTCATGGAAATACGTGATTTGTCCATGTTTACAAACTACCTGTTAAAATAAGATATGGGTGAGTGAGTTTTTTTCACTCCGCTTTTAGCAATATTCCAGCAATGCCACGGCGGGGGACAACGGAAATGATTTTCATACATTTTACATGTGGGGAATCGAACCAGGGCTTCGGCGTGACGAGCGAACGCTTTACCCACTAAATTACCCCACTGCCTCTAAAAAAAAGCCAAGATGCTCCATGTGGTATGGTATGCATACACGTACTTAAGGGTCTATTGAGTCGGACGGGGCATCCATTTTATGTTATTCTGGATTTTAGTCTAAATATCACCCTCATCTCCTGTTGAAATCAGAAGGTTATCTTATTCTCGATGACAGATGTCTTTGCAACAACTGACCCCAATATAAATTAAATTAAATTTAAATTAAACATGTTTCAAATCATCTGCTACTATACAAGCAATATAGGACCTGTTTAGTGTGATACTGTAAACGAACTAATCTGATACAGCTGGTACCATGGGTGACTATAGAACCCCGTTATACATAATGTCTGTCAGGCAATAACGGCTCACAGTACACCTGCGACTGCTATAATACATTGAAACACTGTCCAAAACGGTGTAACCCAACTCGCTCACTCATGCAAAGACGATTACTGATCAAGGAGTGGGCAAGGGTGGCCCAGTCGTCTAAGGTGCCGCAATTCGCTGTGCAGAGTTGCATACCTTGGGCACCCCAGAAACCCGGTTTGCCCCGATTATGTCTCAATGTTCGTCAGTACCATATCCGTGCTAGAGGGTTTCACCAAAGAGACCCGCATCACTTCGGACTTTCCTGCCGCATGAAGCTGACAAGCCTTGATATATCTGGAACACTCACTCACTCACTCACTTACTCACTCACTCACAGCATACAAAACAAAGAAAAGGGTGTAGCTGAAAGGGTTGTCAGATAAACATCGCTGTGACCAGTTGCAAAACCTGTCATTATATAGACAATCGATTTCGTTGGTTTTTTTTGCATTTAATACGAGCATATTACTTTGTAGATATCAAAGTTTTCCATCAGAGAATTTAAACACGGTACAATTTCAAAACTTTGTTATGGAAATATAAAGAAAACGTCATTTATGTTTCCATTTGTATAGAATGCTGAATACGCCGATAAATTACGCCGATTAGCCACTCACTCACGATCCATCTACCTCTATACTCAATGTCTTCTGAATGCAAGTGATTCAGTCACACAGAAACTGGCCTCATCAGTATGAACTATACAAAAACTTAGTTAAGTGTTCCTTCGTACAAAACTTACAAGATGGTAAATCGTGTCAACAGGTAAACCCAAGACATAAACACCACAAGTATGTCCTATAATGACGACCAAACTACATATAAATGGAACATTGAACCTACCAAAGGCTGTGAATATGTGAAATATAGTACAGTGTATATAACAACCAAACAATTGCGATGGGAAGAATGAGACAAGAGTGGCTTAGCTTTGTCTTACAGAGGGAAAACAAATCAATGAACTGCCAGCAATAGAGCCATAGATGGAGAAACATCAATTCAGGTGCCGTTACCGTGTGCTGCAGGCACTGACTATGTTTGTCAGAGGCTCAGATCAAACGTCTTTAAGAATTGTGTTTCTTCTTCAGATATTGTCCACACGTCACTCAGACATATAACAACAGAGGGACGGGTGACCAGTGGTTTGAGGGTGTAGCTTGTTCTACAGAAATGGGTCTTAAGGATCCGCTATTTGATTTTGTTCGAATCCCGATTATGCCCGTTGAGTTATCAATTCCTGATTTATGGATATCTACTGTTCTGTATTCAGAGTATTAAACCTATTCTCCGAATCGTAGTTTGAAAATCTTGAGGAGGTAATCTAACTTTCCGGTTGAAAGGAGAATGCGATGTGTGCAATTTATTGAGCAAGGCGCACTTAACATCTACCGCGCCAAACACTCACTGTCTTTACAGTGTAACATTCATCAGGGATAAGTAAAAGTATTAACTTTTTAAATTATTATACCCACATATGGATAAAATGATTATTTATTAGACAACTTTATCATTTCAATGGGCTAGGGTTAGAGGGCTTATGTTTTTTTAGCAAATAGATAAAAACTGTTGCATTTACGCATTTCATTTACAAGCAGTGACATTCCATTGATGACCTGATATGAAATGAAATGAGGTAAGAATGCAGCGAAGTCATTATTCAAAGGACGTTTCGGCGCTACTCATTCACTTTTACCGGTTAGCATTACTGATTTTTTTACGTTTTGGTTGATATGTATTATTCACTGTATTTGGCGATTTGACTCCCTGATTGTCCACTGCAGCGTTTAGTTATGGCGATGGATTGACTTAACATTTGTTTCAAAAGGACTGATACACTACAGTTTGCGTTGCATAGTGAACACTGCATCTCAGCAGACATCCTTGATCAATGTGGTATATTTTACAACCTGCATTGATTTTGGCTTCCACCCTATACTAAGTAAAATGTAACCACTCACTCATTTATATAACAAAACACATGATAGAACACTGTGCTGGTCTGTCGGTTCCACAAATGTAGCTTACAACTGATTTAATGTAAATAATCTTTTTGATATTAACATAACGGTCTGTCAAAAAATCATTAATACCAGTTTATCTATAATCTAACATAAACCCTTGTGTCCCCTAAATGTAGTGCCATACCTTGTTTATATCTCTCAGATTGCTTCCAACACTATCTTCAATATTTTGTCCTTTTTTTATAAAGAACAGCTTGTGATAACCGGATTGAATTACTTCCATATATTAATGATAAATGCCAAATGTGAAGATTTAAAAAATTAAGAGTACCTCGATGAAATAAGAAAGATTAATATCGTACCTGAATTTAGCAATGTCAAGAAAACCTGCAAGTTGGCAGAGTTAATACTGGTGCCTTACAACTGTGTTATTTCTGTACTTGTTATCGGGAGTAGCTTCACGCTAACAGTCGATATTCTGCTACACAAATATAGCTCATCTGTTCGCGTAGCTTCTACAATCCCGATAATTAGTAGTTCGGCCAAGATTCCACATGACATGTTTGTGAAGCAAATAACAGGGTACAATGAAATCGTTTTGAACTCACCTCATAAACATGACCACTCCAACTCGGGCAATGTCTTTTTGAATGATCTGCCATGTGTCCAGCACAATCTCTTTCTGTCTCTCTGTAAACTCGGGTCGTTCTTCAGGTAAACCCCGAGGGGAGGGGACAGCCTGCCCCTCCCCTGTATCCTGGGGGAGGTATTTCTTTCCGCTCCCCCTGGATCGCTTGCTATCTGAACGTATTGTCATAGATTTGAGTTTCTTGGAATTAAAACATCCCATCATTTTCAAGGCAGATTGTCCGATGGACGGATAACACTATCAGCAACTTGTATCCACGTGGTGTACACCACAACGTCCGATGTCAGGTTCACAGTCACATCATAGTGACAATTAATCTTCAAACACCACCATTGAACAAACACCGGTATTGATCATAACACGCGGTGCCTACGTCAGGCTCGCGCAGAAACCTTATGTGTCATCCGCGTCTTCTCACGGCAATAATAAAGCGATCTCCCTTACCGACTGCACGTTATGGGTAAAATGGATACACTTGACAGCAGCAAAACACGATATGATTTGCTATTTCGCTGGTCCTTCAAACCTTCGCCAAGTAATAAACATGTTCCGCGTCATCCCTTTACCGCATTAACTCGACCACGACATAATAAACTCGGACCTACTGTTTGCAGTTGCCGGGAAACTTAAGCCTTTTTGCAACAAAAACAGACTCCCCATGAAAAGTTGAACATCCGGTGTATTAAATCTGTGATCAGAGAGTTAAGTTCAAACAGATTGTCAGCTTCATTTTTTGCAAGTCAAACTGCAGTAGCCCCGGTCCACGTGTGACGGTTCCTAAATACCTGGAAGTGGTAGACAAGGCTTACTTGTAAAGGTTGGTTGCATACCTGTGGCACTGCGCGGGACTTAGCTTCATTACTCCGGCAACGCTATCAAATGATGTCGTTCTTACTTCACGCGGCAATTCCAGCTGAAGAACGTGTTCCTGGAAACCCAGGCCCTGCCCGCTATTGTTAATACTCAGTCGAGGACCTGCCAGGTCAGCTGGCCTTTAAGACTGCGCTGGGCAATGCCGATGTGTTTACCTGTTGCTGTGCACGCAAGCTTTATATCCCACCTGTGGATAAGGTCATCATTTAATGCGCTGACATACACCAGCGCATTCGTGATAACCCTGTGCGGTGGGTTGAGGCACGTGGGGATCTGTATCAAGCCTTGCAATGCTCCCAGACCTGCTTTCTGCTTTGAATGAAGATAGGGAAATTGATAAACTTAACTAAAGTGTGAATCAATTTACCCGAGGCGTGGTGTTACCGCGGCAGCGTCGATGTCTACTGCAAGGTCGGCATCAACACGACGCACGCCACATGGCTACACACAATTATGTTCAAGATGGAAGAACCCTTAGAAAGTATCTGAAACGTTTCTGTGGAAACCAGCAAAGGTTTTAAATGTCCACCTGATACTTCTTTCGTCAGCCTTATTCACGTCCCTGCAGAACCCATGCTGTTGTCTGATAACAGCACACTGGCGATCATGTACTGCCCGCTGCTAGTGCCGACTACCGACAGTGCAAAACATAACGGTAATTTTAGGAATATTATAACGGTGGAATCAACAACAAAACGCCACAGAACAGAGTCTAACTTTCTTCTATACGTATTAATGAAACTGACAAATACGGCTTCGGTTCTTGTTCTCGGAACCGACACCGCTACGTTCGATCAATATACGCGTTTTGAGGTTGACGGACAACTGCTGTGTTTTTCAGGCTCACGTGTATTATTGAGTTTAGGCGTCCCTTCAAGCGGTCATACATATTGCTCTTAAGGAATGAAAGAATATGAAAAAGCGAGTAATAGCATTGTGGACTAAGAGCAGTTAAGCATGGCACGTTCAGAATCATTAGATTATATTTGAGAGGGTCAGCTTTTAAAACGTTCATTCGGTTCGCCATTACGCAGAACAGTACACGCGGTCACATATTTAGTACACACTGTCGCGTATAAAGTATAAATCGTGACATTATATAGCACACCTTGTCCACAAATAGAACACTTGGTCACACTTATTGTACTATTGCTGAGTGCGGCGTAAAAGAGCAAACAAACAAACAGATGGTACACATTGTCAGATTTGCAGTGCGGTTTGTCAAAGATTTTTTGCACATACATTATACTACGTTTATAACGAACACGCTTATAACGAACTGACGGATATAACGAACTGTTTTTTGGCCCCGTCCATTTGATGTATATATGCTGTGTATGTGCTTATAACGAACTACGGTTATTACGAACTAAATTTAGTGGTCCCTTTAAGTTCGTTATAACCGTAGTTTACTGTATATACTATACATCGCCACGCATAGTCTCGTGTCATTCTGTTCTAACGTACACCGTCCTACAAAGTCGAAACCCACATTGAGACAGCGTATACATACTCATATCCAATCCACATATATTTAGGAATAAATTTCACTCCAAAGCTCCCAAACGTCATGCGTAAAGTTGCCATCATACATGATCGCGTGCACATACCCACTCTGAAGAATAATGTTGTCAAGATGCGGTCACATGTGCGTAAGACTTCTAATACCCTTTTCTGTGACTTTGTAAAGGAACTGCATTTAAATTCATAACGGTTCGGTAATTTGTATGTGTCGGCAAATAGGGACGTTAGTCGTAGGTGTGAATACCATTTTGGTGAAACCAGCGAACGAGGATTTGGTGCTGAGATACAAAAGACCGTAAACAGGTCGAATCTGGAATTGAATCCACCATCTTTGGGGTTCAACGAATTGTGGGGCTCGGACTCCCTGTTCCATTCGTTCCTCCGCGGAACTAAAGGCACTAGGTCATAGGTTATGATGTAAGCGACGGAATCAGCCGAACGAACTGAAACGGAACGGAGGAGAGTAGCAGCGTAGATTAGGTCACGATACGCGCGGGTTATCACTCCGTTTATTACATACAGAGCCTTATCACCATCAAGCCGTTGCATGTTTATAACCCCACGTAAGAGGTGATCATGATGTGCCTGGAAGGAAATCGGCAGTTTAAAGATGAAAAGAGCTTTCTCACTTTCCACATCATATTATCAAGCTGTCATTAAAATGCAGTGACGTCAAGTGACGGCAGCTGGTTGAACTTGTCACGTACTGTATGATGTGCTTACAACATCAAGAACCTATATTCACGATACGGAAAATAATTCGAAGAACTTAGCGAACGTTTCATTGATTCGTTTCAACTTCCAGGCTTTATGGTTGTCCTGGGAAAGATTCAGTTAAAGTTATAATGGCCTCGAGATAGTAAGATGGACTGGCCCGTACCGGATGACTTTCCATATGAATATGTTGTATTGGTTACCTCGAGAGAATAGGCTGACTCTGAATATATTGACTGGGTACGGTACTGTTCCTGATGACTTCGTTTGGTTGAATGGTGCATCGGGGACCAAAGGGTTAAGGCGCCGCAATTCCAGTGCTCGTTGGTTTTACCAAAATGGTAATATCGAACGACCTCTTTCATTTTGGATTTTCATCCACGATGAGACAAAACGTGATATTACTAAATTAATCTTCAATTAAGCATTAAATTCAGTTTAAATTAAAGGGAACACTTTGTCCATAAATAAATAAAATAAATAAATCACCCAATCAAATACAGTAATCGGTTACTGAAGTGGGGGCACGGGTGGCCCAGTTGTCTAAAGCGCCGCGATTCGCTGTGCAGAGTTGCGTCCCTTGGGCACACCAGAAACCTATGATTTTGGGCTCGAATGCCGGTTCGCCCCAATTATGTTTCCAGGTTTGTCAGCACCATACCCGTGCTCGTGGGTTTCACCGAAGTGGTAAACGTCTGAGACCTGCATCACTTCGGGCTTCCCTCCCAAGTTAAGCTGACACGCCGAGATATAACTGGAATACTCTAAAAGGCGGCGTTAAACCCAACTCACTCACTCATTACTGAAGTGCAAAACGTCAGCTTAATGGATTCGGGGACGAAACGGCTCACAGCTGCTTTTCGAAAGATTTCGACAGCAAGTCAACACGAATAGACATATATCGAAACATAATTGGATCATTTCAACAAACTTGACCCAGATACTTTAACAAGTGTCAAACTGCTCCTCAGCCACTGAAACGCGACAGAGTTTAATCTTCTTACACTGGCATTCCCAATACTGATCGACACCCAGGCCGAACAATCAATCGTTTACGAGACTAATGATTGATCCGACGGCATCCACCAGGAATACATAAACTTTCCAATATTCGAACGCTCGAACCTGGTCATAGTTTTTTTATTTCAAGGACCGTTCAATTGTCGGACACGTATAACAAGTTCCATCAAAGATGAGCTGGCATGCGCCATTTGCAACACTTTACAACCAACGTCAGTTTAGAACATGTTAAAGCGTCGTGTGCTATCAGGGTTGTAAACGTCAAGTTTATTGATGAAACATATGCTAACTACTCGCAAATAAAACTGACATTTGTACTGGAAATCTGTGTCAAATCGACAACCAAACTGACGTCCTATATTTGTGAAGTGAAACGCGATCGTATTGAAAAGCTTGCTGACATTTCAGGATGGGCAAATCCTCTGTTTAATCAAGTTCAGTACCACATTGACAAGCTGTCTTGGCGCATGTTCAGAAATAGTATGTGTATCATACGGAACTAATGCTTCTAGAAATTTCCATATTGTTAAATTTCAGGAGAATAAGCTTGACGATAAGACAGTGTGCGAATGTATTGGTTTGTGCGCACGTAGCTCACATCGTGCATTGGGTACAGATGAATAAGCAAGGACAGTAACATCATCACAATGACCTTTACAGAATAATCATCGCTGAGCAACGACGCAATTCGAACTCACTCTATCTATCGTATTTAATAATAACAGCGACAAAGCCCTTTCAATATATTTCCATCGCAAAAAATTCTACTAAAAGCAGAGTCCATTGTTCGATTCCGACTGTAACAAAACATGTGTTTTTTGGTGTTCGCGAAAAGGTGACAGTGACCTGCCCCTCTGGTGCATTTTTTCATTAGATATGTTGCGCAAGATCCGATTCGCATTAAAGGCTCATGTTTTCATACATTCTGATAGAGAACTATTTCACTCACTTATATCTTTAGATATGTTATCGACCGCATTTTACGTCGATTTTATCAATAACCATTATCTCTGTTCAAATCGTGACTTCATAATTAACTTTTAAATTTTACTTAATTTGATTAATAGACATAGTTATATATCAGTAACTTCCACACATTGACTCAACGTGTCAAACGCTGCCATTGATGTCCTTCTCAAATAGACTCGTTTATTTTGTGTTTATCGTGTGTTCGTACGTGATTCTATAAAATCGGTTTTAAGTCGACATTTGTTCGTGCTTCTCGTTGGTGATCGGCAAACCAGGGTATTTATTGTCATTTTTTTGGGGTGGATTTGGTAATATGTGTCGCTAAAGAGACGCTGCATAAAACCGGAGGGTCTGTGTGCAGTGAATGTGTGTATTTCCTGCATAGTGTTAGCAATTTATTCAGTTTGTGTAATTCCATGCTCGAGGGTACATATTGTAGTGAAAATGTGTTCCGTGAAGGAATTTATATTACACTCTAAATTCGTTAAAGGATTTGTATCACAGTGGATGCTGGTGTTTCGTGTTGGTGTGTATGTATGACAGTGGACGCTGGTGTTCCGTGTTGGTGTGCATGTATGACAGTGAAGATGTGTGTTCCGTGTTGGTGTGTATGTATGACAGTGAAGATGTGTGTTCCGTGTTGGTGTGTATGTATGACAATGAAGATGTGTGTTCCATGTTGGTGTATATGTATGTCAGTGAAGGTGCGTGTTCCGTGTTGGTATGTATGTATGACAGTGAAGGTGTGTGTTCCGTGTTGGTGTGTATGTAAGACAGTGAAGGTGTGTGTTCCGTGTTGGTGTGTATGTATGACAGTGAAGGTGTGTGTTCCGTGTTGGTGTGTATGTAAGACAGTGAAGGTGTGTGTTCCGTGTTGGTGTGCATGTATCACAGTGACTGTGTGTGTTCCGTGTTGGTATGTATGTATGACAGTGAAGGTGTGCGTTCCGTGTTGGTGTGTATGTATGTCAGTGAAGCTGTGTGTTCCGTGTTGGTGTGTATGTATGACAGTGAAGATGTGTGTTCCGTGTTGGTGTGTATGTATGACAATGAAGATGTGTGTTCCATGTTGGTGTATATGTGTCACAGTGAAGGTGTGTCTTCCGTGTTGGTGTGTATGCCTCACAGTGAAGGTGTGTCTGCCGTGTTGGTGTGCACGTATCACAGTGAAGGTGTGTGTTCCGTGTTGGTGTGTATGTATGACAGTGAAGGTGTGTGTTCCGTGTTGGTGTGTATGTAAGACAGTGAAGGTGTGTGTTCCG